GGTCTCTCTCTCATTTACTCATTCTCTCTTGGTTATGATAGTGTTTATAAGAAATGATTAAACTCAGTGAACAAGGTTATGTCAATGGCAATAAGCAAAATAATAATAATGATGATAATCACTCTGGAGTGCTTTAACCCATAAACTGTCCAAACGTATATACAGTGGTACCTTGGGATATGAACAGCTGAAAACACGAATAATTATGTAAGCGTATTTATGTATGTGCTTTTGTATGTGCATTTTTGGGGGTCTGAAATGGATTAATCTAATTTACATTATTCCTTATGGGAACAAATTCATTCGGTATCGGTACTCGAACAGCCTTGTGGAATGAATTAAGTTCATATCCAGAGGTACCACTGTATACTTTCTCTCGCCCAGTCCCACAATTTTGAAAAAAATAAATTTTTATATAGAAATAAAGAGCACATATTTCGAAGTGTTATATGATAAAAAAAAAAATTATGGTCAGTACTTACTGAGATATGAGGATGCAAAGTTGGCACTGGATGCTCACCTGACAGCAACATCGAGTTGTGCTGCTTGCAGAAGTGTTGCTGATGTACCTTTTTTTCTCGTTTTTATATTTTATATAATTTTTATGTTCTGATAATTACAATTTATAGTAGTTCTTGTTATTTCATAACCAATCTTTGGTTTGACACTAATATTAGGTACTGAAATTGTACTCAAATTGTCACACACACACACTAACAGGTGGACAATTACACTTGCCTTGGTCATTTACTTTTGTCTAGGAATATATACGAAGTATAAATTTATAGGTCCCAGCAATGTTTTAGATACATGGGAGTATATAATAACAATAAGTTCCCTTGAAACATTATGTAAGACAAGTGTCAATCCACTGCTGATACTGCAATGATAAGAGGTGACATCTGATGAGCATCGGCCCTCACTTTAATTGTTTTCACTGTTACACATAAACATGTCTGTCTGTCTGTCAAGTACTCTGTCTATCTGTCTAGTACTCTATTTATCTGTCTCTCTGTCTGCTTGTCTCTCTTTCTGTCTCTCTCTCTGGTGATAAAGGTTATATATTATTTTGGGGTGTGGGGGGGGTAAATCGTGACAAAAGTTTAAGTCATTAAAGGTAATATCATTTTGTATAACACTGGGTGTAGAATGGTGTGTGGAGTGACAGGGTGTCAGTACACTTTTGTCTGGTTTGGTTAATTTTGTATGAGGGTTAATTAGGGATTATTGGGAATACAGGAAAGAGTAAGGTTATGAGGATAACAAAAAGATTAGGTGATGAAAGATTGGATATCAGATTGGAGGGAGAGAATATGGAGGAGGTGAATGTATTCAGATATTTGGGAGTGGACGTGTCAGCGGATGGGTCTATGAAAGATGAGGTGAATCATAGAACTGATGAGGGGAAAAGGGTGAGCGGTGCACTTAGGAGTCTGCGCAGACAAAGAACTTTGCCCTTGGAGGCAAAGAGGGGAATGTATGAGAGTATAGTTTTACCAATGCATTTATATGGGTGTGAAGCATGGGTGATGAATGTTGCAGCGAGGAGAAGGCTGGAGGCAGTGGAGATGTCATGTCTGAGGGCAATGTGTGGTGCGAATATAATGCAGAGAATTCGTAGTTTGGAAGTTAGGAGGAAGTGCGGGATTGCCAAAACTGTTGTCCAGAGGGCTGAGGAAGGGTTGTTGAGGTGGTTCGGACATGTAGAGAGAATGGAGCGAAACAGAATGACTTCAAGAGTGTATCAGACTCTAGCGGAAGGAAGGCAGGGAAGGGGTCTGCCTAGGAAAGGTTGGAGTGAGGGGGTAAAGGAGGTTTTGTGTGCGAGGGGCTTGGACTTACAACAGGAATGCGTGAGCGTGTTTGATAGAAGTGAATGGAGACAAATGGTTTTTAATACTTGACGTGCTGTTGGAGTGTGAGCAAAGTAACATTTATGAAGGGATTCAGGGAAACCGGCAGCCCGGACTTGAGTCCTGGAGATGGGAAGTACAGTGCCTGCACTCTGAAGGAGGGGTGTTAATGTTGCAGTTTAAAAACTGTAGTGTAAAACACCCTTCTGGCAAGACAGTGATGGAGTGAATGATGGTGAAAGTTTTTCTTTTTCGGGCCACCCTGCCTTGGTGGGAATCGGCCAGTGTGTTAATAAAAAAATTAATAAAATATTGTGATTGAACTCACTTTGTGTGCCTTTTTAATTAATATATTATCCTCCTTGTATTGTAATGTTTTAAATAAAATCTAAAAAAAAAAAATCTTAATAATCTTATCACTGATACTAGAGTTACCAAGCTCTTTCCTCATATTAACAACCTTGGTATATTTGGGATAACCAAAAATAATTCTGAGGACTTCATCCTGTATTAACTCCGAGTGTCAGAGAGAACTTTCCCTAGCTAATATCAACAAAGGAGCAGCATAATCAATTAAGGACCTAACATAGACTATGAACATTATTCTCACGATTCTCACGTTAGCATCATAGTTGGAATTGTAGCCTATTTTTGCATTTCTTATTTAGTTGTGGTATGGTGCATTTATTGAAAGGTACGTCTACACCAGGGTATCCCCTCAGGAAGGTTCCTTGATGTTGGTGAGGGGTTCTTGATTTAGGGAATTGGATCTGTGCTCCAGTTCCCCGAATTAAGCCTGAATGCCTTCCACATCCTCCCCCCCCAGGCGCTGTATAATCCTACGGGTTTAGTGCTTCCCTCTGATAATAATAATAATAATAATAATAATAATAATACACCAAGGTATCTGTATGATTTAAGGTAGCTAATGTTTTTAACCCGCAAACAGATGGGTGGAGGATGTCGTCTGCTTGTCAATATTTTTATTTCAGATGAAATTAGATGAGGCCTAATCGGCTACAAATTGAACTTCATTAAGCCCTGTCGTATGGATCATGATGTCATCAGCGTAGCTTTTAGCTATATGTTTAAGTGAGGAAGGTAGACTATTTAGGAGAGCATTAATCAGAGCATTAAATAGCATGGGACAGAGAACTCCTCCTTGCGGTGTACCTAGGAACATTTCTCTAGACTCGCTTCTCAAGCCTTGGTAGAGGACACATATCCTATTATCAAACTGAGTAGGCTACCACCAATAATCATTTTGGCTAGTTTATGTAGTATAACAGTTCTGTTTGCAATATCAAATGTGGTAGAACTAGTAGAGGTGTGTGCAGTGAGAAAGTCGCAAATATAATTCTGCACACTTTTACCTCTCATGAACCCATAGAGATGAGAGGAAAGATGGTGTCTGATTCTATAGTACAGTCTGTTAAATATCATTCTTTCAAAAGTTTTACAAAGACAACTAGTTAAGGAGATCGATCTAAATGTATCAGGCTGTTGCAGCTTAGGGATAGGCACAATGAAACTATTGGTTCAGGAAATAGGAAGAACACCCCTTTATGTAACGGAGATTGTACACTACTAACAAAGAGTTATTAGGGACCTGCCTTAGATTTTTGAGGATATAAGTTATACCATCCTCTCCAAGAGCTGTTGGTCGACCTTTAGCTAATTCATTATCTGATTCATACTCAGTGAAGAGGCAATCACTCTCATCAATATTTTTGCTCAAAATTATTATTATAATAAAAAAGAAGCGCTAAACCACAAGGGCTATACAGTTTTTTTGCCCAAAAAATTAATCAATTTCAACCTTTCTTTAGAAGCACTCTCTAAGTTTTTTCTAATATATGAGACGGGAGATATTCAAGTTATTTCTAATATATGAGATGGGAGATATTCAGGTTTTGGACTTGAATATAATTTAGAGTTATATACATGACTCTGAACTAAATATTATTCTCCCCAAGCTGTGGGGACTTATATATATGACTCGGAACTTAATATTCTCTACAAGCTGTGGGGGTATTTCTAGCAGGAACGCGAGCTCTCTCCTCTGTGGTTGTAGTGAAACTACTTCCAAGGCAATCATATTTATTTTGAACGGGAGTGACAGACTCAGAATGTGAGTGACAGGCTCTGAACATGAGTGACAGACACTGAACGTGACTGACAGGCTCTGAACGTGAGTAACAAACACTGAACGTGACTGACAGGCTCTGAATATGAGTGACAGACTCTGAACATGAGTGACTGAGCTCATATACGGGAGTAATGACAACTTTAGTGGATGAGTGCTGCTGAGCTACCAGCATCTCGACGCTACACAGTGCTAGGACGTGAACACACGTCCTAGTACTGAGTTATTAAACCCATGGGAGCTATTAACCCCCCGAGACCTATTAAACACATGAGGGCTATTAAACCCATGAGGGTTATTAAAACCATGGGAGTTATTAAACCCATGAGCTACATTAAACCTATGAGCTACACTAAACCCATGAGTGTTATTCATAATGAAGGGTCATTAATCCAGGTGGGTTGCAAAACCCGTGGGCTTATTAACCCAGAATGAGTATTAACCAGGGAAGGTAATTAACCGAGAATACACCAATAATGCCAAACAGTATATCTTGTTAACTCGCAGGTTCTGTTTTGGACTAAGTCAACATGTAGAGGTGTAGGGTGACTTATCCATATGGCTGTAAGATGCTAGGCGAGTCGAGACAGCGAGTTTAAGGTCCTAGGCAAGTAAAGACGGTGACTAAGGTGCTAGGTGAGTAGAGACAGCGAGTAAGGTACTTAGGTGAGCAGAAGTAACTTTTATAAGCTTTAAAGAGGGAAGGAGTAACTTTTGTAAGGTGTTAGGTGAGCAGGAGTATCTTTCGAAAGGTTTCAGGTGAGCAGGACTAGCTTTTGTAAGGCGCTACGTGAGAAAGGGTAGCTTTTGTAGAGTTTAAAGTGAGCAGGAGTAGCTTTTTTAAGGTTTTTGGTGAGCAGGAATACTTTTGTAGGGTGCTAAGTGAGCAGGAATAGCTCTTTGTAAGGTGCTAGGTGAGTAGAGACAGTGGCTGTAAGGTGTTAGGTGAGGTGGGACTGAATACATCAAAATACTCCTTCAAGGTTAATAAACTTACCACATCATCTTAACCTCTTTTACTGCTGCTGTTTTCATATTTGCAACATCTGTATTCGTAGATAAAGCCTGCTGTGTAGGCGAAACTTTAGGAATAAAGAGTTCATCCTTGTTCCCACGTACCTGAAAGAAGTCCTTTGTGTTGGTCTTTGATTTTCTCTCAACCTTAAGTTCAAAATCTCTTTTAGTCTTTCTTATTCTTTTTTGGTTTATTTCTTAAAATTAAAATAATAATCCACAAGGTGACCCTTGCCGCTTTCGATTAGACTGTAAATGCCTCACTTTTCACCCATTTATGTTTGATCTTTTTCTCTCTATCAGGAATATACGAGCACTTAGCTGCTTGCACGATGTTCTGGAAAATGTTGTATTGGCAATCATCACCCCACCTCTCGGGTCTCCCTTCTGATAATTTATCTTATCCCAATATATTCTGCGCCACCAAAATCAGTAACATGTAATTTATTACCGTTTTTAGGTGGCTCCATGAAATATTGAAACTTGTTGATTTGTGAAAACTTCCTCCATACATATCTAGAGAGTTTATCAAATATTCCTCGTCACCCAGAGTCAAGGCCAGTAAATTATTTGCTCGAGTTGGTTTTCTTACAAATTGTTGTAAAATAAAAATCCTGGACTATTTCTGTAAAGTCAGTAGACTGTACGTTTCTTGTAAAATTGCTCCAGTCAGTTTAACTGAATCTGAAATCTCCAATTAGAACCACATTTTCACATTTAAATACCTTCACTATCTGGACTTTGTGTGTGCATCACACCTCAAATTAATTTTTCACAACCTTAAAAGAAACTGAAGTCATATAATTTCTGTTTCCATTCCTCCTGCCTATAAATCATTCCTGATATTCCTATGACATACCAACTTCGCCTCCATTCTCGTTGACCTTATCAATGTGGAATAATTTATACCTCTGTATAAATTATCCCCATTATTAATCTTTTAATTATCAATTTTTTATATTAAAGTCTCAATAATCTCCCACTTAGCAATTCAAAATATCAATTTGTAAGGTTCATGAATATTGAAGAATTTATTAATTCCTTTCTTTAATAATAATCATAATCACAGAACTAATTAAAAGTCATTCATTTTAGGGTAACGCGCGACAAGCTGAGGTTAAATGTAACATAGCATATATATTTTATGTTCCAACTGAAATTTCCTTGTTGCAGGCAAGTTGAAAACAAGTACTTATAGGTTTTAGATATAGATTCAAAGTTCCTTGTTGCAGGAGCTAGTGAGGTTCATGAAGCCTCGAACTCTTTAGTGGAGCTTCACAAGATTTTGCGCTCAAGTTCTCTGCGGTGTTTCTTTCTAAAATTAGGAGCTACTTTTTCTTTGCGCACAAATTCTTGAGTTCCTCAGAGCCCTTCAAGTTTATTTCCTTGTAGCCAGGCATCGTGTCGCTGCATCTTGCCAGCCACGGCAGGATGTTCTTATACTTGCTTAAATCAATTCCAAAAACACGGAAGGTCTCCACGGAGACTGCCAGAATGTGGTCGGCGACAGTGAGTGTGTTACCCACAGCCCAGTTGTGGCCATCCAGCATATCGTTGAACCAGCCCAGTGCCTCGTGAAGCCTCTCTAGCTTGGCAGGGTCGAACTCCTTTTGTGACCCGAACAAGACTGGAAACTGATAAAGAAAATTACAAATGTAGTAAAAGTTTATGAACAGACTTCAAGCTTTCGTAATAGAATAATATTAGAGTCAGCCGACTTCATTATTAAATGTAGTAGTAGTAGTAGTAGTAGTAGTAGTAGTAGTAGTAGTAGTAGTACTAATATAATAATAATCTTTATTTCTGCAAAGCATCTCATGCAGTTGATATAACTAAGATTAGTTTACAGCATTGGTATACTTTATAGAAAGTTCCTAGTTATTCAGATCATTTGTGAAGATGAATGAAATGAAGACCATCCTTTGTATTGAAGCATGTCATCAAAACTCTTTAATAACTGGGCATGATAGGAAAACGATGGTTTTAATGTCATGCTCAGACTGTCTTGGTGATGGCAGACTATCTTGGTGATACAGCACGAGAAGGAAAACCCATGTTGTGTGATAGAGTATAGCAGGAAAATCATGAGCGTGTGATCTAAGTTGACAGAAAACATATCTGGTGTGATGAAGCATGACATGACAGGAATACGATCTTTATTATGGAATATGAAGAAACTCAATGAGATGTGACATTGTATTACGGGAGAACCATCCTGCATAATAAACTATAATTAAAAACGCCTTATTGCATGAGTATGACTGAAAACACAGTATTGCATTACGGAGTATGACTGAGAACACAATCCTGCATTATAAAGTATCTTGTGTGATGGAGCATGTAAAAAAATCCTGCATTATGGGTATGTTAGGTAAACATAGCTCTTGCTCTAACCTTGTAAAATAAGACCATGAAGGAGAGCCGAAGTAGGCTTACATGTCCCAGATGATTTACACACATGTGCAACATTTTGGTATCGTTACTATTCGCCATCCAAAACAGACGACTGTAGAAGGGGATTTAATGAGTGTCTCAGACTAGCAGAACTATACACAAAATACAGTAGAAGATGACGTAATCAGAGACTGTTTATCTCTTCTACAGTCTTCCGTTTGTTCCTGAATTGTATTTCTGAAACTATTGGATGGCAAACTTCTACAAACTAAAGATACCCATTTGTTGTACATGTTTTTAAGTTATTAACTTTTCAGTATTGTGTACCACTAATACATCTACTGTCCCATGCTTGGCAGGTCCAACCCATATCTACTCATGTACTTGTTCAACCTATTTTTGAAGCTACACAATACTGCTACTAGGTAATTTGTCCCACTCATCCGCAACATGATTACCTAACCATTGAATTTCTAATACCTTTCTAAATCATTTTTTTTCACCTTGAACCAATTGCTGTGAGTTTTTCTTTATTGGATATTTTCGACACGTTATTTATATCCTCTCTATTTATTCCTGTCTTCCATTTGTCCATTTCAGTCATATATCTCCCTCCTCAATTTATATGCCCTTAGTCTGTCTTCGTATTAAAGATTTCTGATACACGGGAACAACTTCATCCTCCCCAGTATGTTTTCCATCGTATTTATAAGAATTTTGTAATATGGAGACAAGAATTTGCAACATAATCTAAATGAAGTCATACCACGGATACACAAAGTTGAAGTATAACCTGGAGACTATTATTTATACTTCTTCACATTAAGCCAAAACTTATGTACTTGTCTTTAGATTACTGCTAACTAGAACTCCTAAGTGTTTTTAGTATTAGTAATAACCGAGCTATACTTTATTTAGTTTATAAATACCATTGTAATATTGTTTTCCTAGTATCAGAACCTACCATTAGTTTACCCTAAATGGCATCTTCTGCCATTGCAAGAATTAGACGCATGCAACAACTGGGTACGTTGTTTTAACGTAAACATTTCGTTAACCAGTAGCCTTATCAGTACAAGGGCAAAAACAGAATGGAGAGGTAGAACATAAGTACCTTCTTCCACAGGGGTATCCTTCGAACCAGTGACAATGCCTTCGTCTGCTGCACCTCATCTGATTCCAATAAATAGGCCGACCTCATCCAGCCTGTGCTTCAGATTCATCAAGACTGAGGAACTGAACACATGCTTCTAAGCTGAGAGATTGTTTACCTCGTCTTCAGCCTCTTCAGTCTATTGTTTTTGTCCCTGTATTGTACTCATAAACCACTCGTTGGCAAAACGTCTACATAAAAGTACCCAGTTGTTGCAAGTGTGTCTAATTCTTCAACTTGTCTGTATTATATACAATTGTCTAGGTCATCCTGTGGCACTCTTGAGCTTCTCATCAGAATTTGATTGAGGACCTATTTTAGTGTCATCGGCAACTGGTTCATGTCGGTTATGTATATTGTGAACAACAAATGGCCCAACACTGACCCTGTGTAACACCCTCGTTCACCTGTATACAAGCATGAAAATTTTTTTAATACATTGGACAAGGAATAATGGAAATTTAGTGCACATACAGTAGCAGATATATATTTCGCATTGTACATACTGTAATTAGGAATCATTAAGATCTTGCCTGAGTTCTCTTTTCTTTCTTCCTCCTACTTTTCGATATTATTTTGCTCATAACTTGTGAACGCCTCATCAAAATGGTTTTATATTTTTAACACTTGTGTACGGTTTTATTAACTAATTATTATTATTATTATTATTATTTTTAATAACACATCAGCCGTTTCCCACCAAGGTAGGGTGGCCTGAAAAAGAAAAACTTTCACCATCATTCACTCCATCTCCTTGGCAGAAGCACACTTACACTACAGTTATAAAACTGGAACATTAACACCCCTCCTTCAGAGTGCAGGTATTGATTGTACTTCTTATCTCCAGGACTCAAGTCTGGCAAGCCGGTTTCCAAGAAACTCTTCATAAATGTTACATTGCTCACGCTCCAATAGCACGTCAAGTCCTTGAAACCATTTGTCTCCATTCACTCCACTCTAACATGCTGAAGCATGTTTGCTATAAGGTCAAGCCCCTCTCACACAATACCTCCTTTACCTCCTCCCTGCAACCTTTCCTAGGCCGACCTCTACCCCGCCTTCTCTCCACTACGGATTCTCTGCATTATATTCACACCACACATTCCTTACAGACACGACATCTCCATTGCCTCCATCCTTCTCCTTGTTGTATCATTCACCACGCATGCTCCGCACCCATATAAGAGTGTTGTTTTAACTATACTCTCATACATTTCCCTCCTTATTTCCGTGGATCAAGTTCTTTGTTTCCACAGACTCCTCAGTGCAGCACTCACCTTTTTCCCCTCGTCAATTCTATGATTCACCTCATCATTCGTAGATCCATCTGCTTACACGTCCACTCCTAAATATCTGAATACATTCTCCTCTTCCATACTCTCTCCCTCCAATCTCATTTCCAATCTTTCGTTACCTATTTTTTTTCCACGTCGCCTTCTCTTTCCTATATTCGCAAACCTACCAAGCTTATCCACCAACCTCTGCAACTTCTTTTCAGAATCTCCCATAAGCACAATGTCATCAGTAAAGAGCAAGTGTGACAACTCCCACTTTGTGTTAGATTCTTTATCTTTTAACCCCACACCTCTTGCTAACACCCGAGCATTCACTTTTCTTACAACCCCATTTATAAATATATTGAACAACTGTAATAAAGTTGGTAGAATTACCGACAATATGTAAAGTAAAACGACACAAGTGCAACTAATGTGACATTTATTGTGGCAACGTTTCGCTCTCCAGGAGCTTTATCAAGCCATTACAAACAATACATGGACACAGAGGGTATATAAAGGCTCAGAGTGAGGTGAATACTAGTGAGGTACCATTTCGATGTTCACTAGTGGTAGTAGTAGTAGTAGTAGTAGTGGTAGTGACAAAAGTAATACAATATGGTAGAGCTAATTTCCGCACACGCAAGTGCCTTGAATCAGCACTGATCACTGTTTCGAATACAATTAAACAAAACAACGGCAGCTTCACCATCTCCGAAGTCTTAGCAAGAATCCTCCTGAAAACAGTAAACCCTGCCATCACATAGTCTCTCCTGTTATACTACACAAAGCACAGAGAGTGAACACTGAAACAAGCTGCCTCATTCCAGTTTATATTTGTCCAACCTATTTTTATGTTACCCAAGTAATAGCTTTTATATCCTTTTACTCATGTACGAATTAATTGCTCTACCATATTGTATTACTTTTGTCACTACCACTACTACTACTACTACCACTAGTGAACATCGAAATGGTACCTCACTAGTATTCACCTCACTCTGAGCCTTTATATACCCTCTGTGTCCATGTATTGTTTGCAATGGCTTGATAAAGCTCCTGGAGAGCGAAACGTTGCCACAATAAATGTCACATTAGTTGCACTTGTGTCCTTTTACTTTACATATTGAACAACCATGGTGACATCACACTTGTCAGTTAAGAAGAGCGTCAAGTTGTCATGAGTCCGCCTCCAACTGTTTCACCTTATCTGCATATATGCTGTACTATAATCAAGACTGATGGACTAAACACCGACTAAAATCTGAGAGACTGATTACCTCAAACACCTTCTCATCTTCTACCATCCACCTCTGTACTGTACTGAGGAAACCACTAGTTGGCGAAACGTTTCCATGAAACCCAAATGTTGAACAAGTGTCCCATTCACCAACTTGTCAGTTTTTTAAACAATTTATTTAACGACCTGTCAACTGCTTTGTAGATAGGAATCAATTTGACATTTTCCACTTATCTGGCGCTACACCAGTTTGTTGTGATATGTTGAAAAGACTATCAAATGGTTTGCTAAGTTTTTCCTTACATTCCTTTGGAACCCTTAAGAACAATGATAGGTCTATGAACTATGTCACTAGTTACTTTGATCGTCCATAACTTATTTTCGTCTAGGCCTATATAATTTTTGATTGATGGGATTTTGCTACTTTCTTCCCGCATACAAACGGAGAACAAATAAATGCTGAAAATTGTACATATTTCTTTGTCACTGACAGTGAGATGTCTTGAGCAACTATCCTATCCTATCCCTAATCTTCTATATACCTAAAAGAAACGATCCCTTTGCGACTTTAATTTCATAATCTCTTTTGGCTTTTCTTATCCCTATTTTATTTTTCTCGTTTAAATCAAATATACCGATTTTTTAATTGTCCGTCAACTGTTTTGATTCGCCTGTAAATGCCTTTTTTGTGAACTATAATCTATTTTTTTTTTCAGCCGTCCATGAAACATAAGTTTCCTGGACGGCTGAACAATGCTTTCAAAAATATCATATTGTCAACCATTACCACGTACCTGACTTGTCAGGTCACACCAGTTCACCCGACCCAGATAATTCCTCAGCCACACAAAATCAGCTAAACGAAAATCAGGGATCTTGACTTGATTGTAGTTATCAAGGTAATTCCATAATATATTGGAACTGAGTGTTTTGTGATCACTTTCCCCGACCTCATCATTAACCTCAAGATTATGAATTAGTTGGTTCTAATAATTTTGCCTGAAATTAAAGTCTCCCATGAACACAATATTATATCAAAATGTCTCAATCATTTTGTCCCATAGAAATTAACCGCGTTCCCTATCAAGGTTTGGAGACCTGTAAATCACACACGAGATTACCTTTCCACGTCCCTCGAAAAACTGTAGCTTAATAGAGTCAGTGTCCGTCGTTTCTGCTTTTTATATCTTGTATAATGCAGCAATTTATATTATCACTGACGTAAATCGCCACTCCACCACTCTTCCCTTTTACACTGTCGGCGTGGAACAGTTTATTGCTTTGTAAGTGGCAGTCAGAAGGCGTTTCTCTATCTTTGAAGTAGATTCAGGTCTCTGTTATAATCATAATATCTATGTTTTCTGCACATACAGTTAATCTTAACTAATCTATGTAAAGTCAGTGTATATATCGTTTGGAAATATTGATATTATTCATAAAAAACTGCACATTGCAAACACTGAAGACATTATCAGCACTCACCGCATATTCAGCAAAGCGTTGGAAAAATTTTTCCATATCGAAGTAGAGGAGCCTATCAACCTGGGCTCTAGTCTGGAGGTCTCTCGGGTACAGGGAGTCGTCCTTACCATACTTGGAGGCCAGGTAGGTGCAGATGGCACGACTAACATAAAGTTTTGTTAGGTCTTATATACTGCAAGACTGAGATATTCATTTAAATTTTCTCATGCAAGAAATCAGTAAGTAGATTATTTAACAATGGTTTCAATGAAGGAAAACAGTTTTTATATATAAAAGATGGAAAATATTCGCAGTATCGGAGGTGGAACTATTCACAGCCATCCCACAAATTGGAAATGAATACTTAACATTTATTATGAATGTGAATCATTACTAAGTCACGAATGAGCAAAAGAAAAGAGTGGTAAAGCAATCAATGAAGTAGATGCGTGTAATACCTTTCCCAAAGAACAAAATCTCCGTCGACCAGGGTAGGAACAGTGTGGTGAGGGTTGATAGCTAAAAACTCCGGCTTCAACTGCTCCTTGGCAGACAGATCAAGGCGCTTGAGGTTGAGCTCCAGTCCTACTGCCTTGGCTGTCAGCATGGAAGCTCGGCAGGGCCCGGAGCTCAGTACGTAGTACAGGTCGACCGGCATGGTTATCTGGTGATGACGGATAGTGTTAGCAGACTACAGTGAAAATAAAGAGTCCAGTAAAATCAAGGAAGAAAAACACTGTATACGATGAATATTAAGACACTTTCCCTCTCCATGAGTTACTGACTAAAAGAACCAAAAGGCACAAAATCGTGACTGGAATATTACACAAATAAGCTGCTCTTAGGAGAGAGAAGCGTATGGCAATGTTTCGCTCCGACTAACACATGAAAGGGAGGGAGCCAGGATATATTGAAGTGGGGGGGGGGGTTAGGAGCAGATGAATGAAAGAAAGACGTGTAGTAGAAGTAGTGTGAGTAATAGTGGCAGTAATAGTAGTAATGGAGTAGTGTAGAAATAGAAGTAGAGTAAGCCTAAGGACAAGAAATAAATAGCACTACAGGAGAGCTAATGGCCAACAAGGGTAGGACCAAAAACAAAGGAGAGAACAGAACACACCTAGGCAGAAGAGAGGAAGACAAAGAAAATACTAAAGGAGAACAGTTAGGGAGAGGAGAAGAAAAATCATGTCAAGTCATGAGAGTTCTGAAATTGGAGCATTTGACAACATAATGATTAAGGAAGGCATCTATAGAGACAAAGCTATGACTGAAATTCGTACTGGCAAAGCTGTGCATAAGGGATGCTTCAACAAGACGGAATCTGTGAAGGCTAGAAAAAGGGTAGATAGTTTTAGCAGAGGACCAGGACTACTATTACTACCACTACATTACTTTTAAAGCCATCCACACTTCCTCTTCATCAATGGGTCCCTCAATAACTGCCCTATCTTTTCGGCCCCAGGTTCCTCTGAATCTCCCTCACTCTAACTCCCCGTCTCATAAAATTCTCGAACCACGTATCAGGAAACCCACTCATTCCGGCCGTTGTATCCAACCTTTGTCCCATTTTATACCTTCCCACATCCGTATGTACATACAGCTTCATCATGGTCATTATCCTTTGCCGTTGTCTCCTCAAATCACATGCCGATGGTTTATCCTCCAAGCCTCCCCTCACTCTCTCATCATCAAACCTTTCATTCTGCAGTTCCTGCAATCTCGTTTTTATTCCTCCTATCTCATTCACAGGATATCTCTCACCAATGCACTCATAACACTATTTCAACTGCCCTTCCTGATGCCTCTGCAATCCATATTTCCATTGATTTACCTCCCTACCCTTCTTCACATAAAATTCACGTATTCCAGGCTTAGTGTACTCCTCCCACCATCCTAGTATATCGCCCATTAGACCACGCTTGTGTCCACCACTCAACAAAACTATCACCGTTCACCTTCCCCTCTAACAAACTCACGTTAAGTTTCTAATAACCCGGATAATGCCCCGGTAATCCGCTCCAACCCACATCCACCATCACCCCCTTATGATCTGAAAACACAACATCCATAACTTTCATTTAAGTAACCATTATTCCCGGTGAGACACAGGTCCAATCGCGCCACATGCATAACCCGCACGCATATGTGCTCCACCTTCCACCCCTCCTCCCATTACGTCCACCATTCCTGCTCTCTCCTAAAGCTTCCCTCAAAACCCCTAAAACACACCCTGCACCCCTCGGCTCAACAGCTTCCCTACGAATTACACTATTCCAATCCCCTCCTAACAAAGCATATACAGGCAAACCCCGCATATGATATAAGGTACCCCTAACAAACTCCTCTTTTACGTGCCTATTACTATCCGCCGGCATACATACACTCACAAAACACACCGTCTCTCCACCCCATGTCCCGTCCACCCTCACTACTCTCCCGTCCCACTTCCCCCTTCTTCCCAATGTAAAATTCTACAAGGACTGGCCTGCGATATTAATACAGGTGCACCTCCCTTTTGCTTCCCCTGCAAATACATGATACCCATCCACTAACAAATCTCAAAAATTCTTATAATTATGCTCCTGTAGAAATATAACCTCAAAAATTCATTAAATCATCTGCGTTTTACATCGGCCCTTAGGCCATTCACATTTAAGATTAAACACATAACATTACTATTGGGGGCTTACCTTTCGACCTTAGACCTTGTTTTTCCTTACGCCTCTGCTCACTATACTTATCATTATCCCTCTTTTCTAGCCTCACCTTTCCCCTGCCCCTTCCCCTTCCCCTTCCCCGTGACTTTTCGTGACACTACCACCAAAGGTTTTTTACCCGATCTCTGGGCCGGTGTTATGACATCATCACTCTCAGATACACCAGCCTCCCTCTTATGAGATTCACCTGTTATTTGCATGTCCTCATCGACACCCTCAACCTCCGTCTCACATACCCTCAGTGACATCTCTTGTCTGCTACCCTCATTACCTACTTCACATATCCTGCCCTCCTCCACAAGTTCTCCATCCTTTACATCATGCTGACTTCCTTTCTCATTATGAATATCCTGTAAGCCTTGTAACACAGAGTTTATTGCAATCGACACACCGTTACCCAATTCCTGTGGACCCGCCTCGTCATTCATTCTCATGACCTCAATGACCTGTGTAACCTCCAGTAAAGTTAGACACTCCTCTAAATGACCTTCCAGGGTGCCATATTTAACCGCTTACAAGGGGTCCAGAATTTTCGCTTTTTTACAAAGGTCCACTACTGTTAATGCTCTTCTGTACAGCTATGCTTTTTATGTCACTAATATTTACCCTTTGACTAGTGTGGTGGCGCGTAAAATCCAAGGTATATATATTTTTTTTTTTTTTTTTTTTTTTTTTTTTTGTCTTCTGAGTGCGAATAGTTCAAAAGAGAAGCGGGGACACTTTGTCCGTATTTTATTTTCAGAAACTTGTGTTGTGTGTTTATGTAAAGAATAGCATTGCATGTATGGCCCTGCATGTCCATGGGTGTATGGATCGAGTGTATGGTGTGTTAATACTTTCAGATTTCGTCGATCACCCATGGTGGAGGTCGGACGTTCGCTGCAGCACTCGCACCTATTGGTAGCTCTGAGTGATTTTCGCAAGATGGCACAGGCCACTAGGAAGGGAATCAACACTGTGTGTATCGAGGTGTTGAAAGGCATGGTGTATAATTCGAATGTATCTATTATGTTACAGGCCATCTTGCACGATACCTATTGCATCAACAATGACGACCTGTAGAGCATTGCATTAAATGGTGTGACACGGATATTTGTGAAGTTTGTGACGGCTGCGGTCTACGACAAGATGGTGGAGAAGTACCAGGATGTTTGTATGACTGTTAACCCTGGTTTGGAGGTACGGATGAGGGATGTATCCAAGTATTACACTTGAGTCAAGTTAAGAAATGTACCGTTTGAGGCGGATGAGGTGGACATACGAGCAGCATTTAAAGAGTATGGTGTAATACATCTAGCTACAGTGGGAAGGTGGTCTGCGGGTACGTACGCTGGCATCCGTGAGGGCTCCTTTACCCTTAAGATGTCTTTGCGCAGATCCATACCATCATATGTGGTAATGAGAGATTTTAGGACTCAGGTATATCTAATATATGTGGACCAGAGACGTACATGTAGACTGTGTGGGGCCTATGAACATATGGCTGCGTAGTGTCCTCAAAGATCATCACCTGAGACTCAAGGCGCAGGGAAAGGAGTGGCGAAGGATAGTGAAGTGATGACCAAGACTTTAGGACAGCATCTTGGGGCTCGTAAGACATGGAGTGACATAGTGGAGGAACATTCTGGGTGTGTAACGTTACCGGAGGTGTCTCAAGTTATTGAGACCATGAGAATGGAGGAAGAGGTGGGCCAGGAGGATTTGGATAATGGTGTGTCAGCTGCTATACATTCTGTGTTACGAGGCTTACTGGATGATCATAATGAGGAAGGTACTCAGAGTATGGTAGAAGATGGGGAATCTGTGGAGGAGGGTAAGGTTCATGAAGTAGGTAATGTGGGTAGAAGGGACGAGCAACCTCCGAGGGTTTGTGAGGCTGTGGTTGAGGTGCACAGGGAGGACGGTGGTGGGAAGGAGATGCAAACAGTTGGTGCAGCTCTTAAGAGAGAGGCTGGTGCTTCTGATAGTGATGATGTCCTTACACCAGACTAGAGACCTGGTAAGAAACCCTTGGTGGAAGTGCTAAGAAAAGTCTTTGGGGAGGAGGAGGGGTAGGGAAAAGGTGAGAAGTATAGTGGGTAGAAGCATAAAGAAACACAAGGACAAAGGACAACAGGTAAGCCCCAGTAGCATTTTTAAGTGTTTAACATTAAATGTGAATGGCCTAAGGCCGATGTAAAGCGCATATAGTTTAGTGAATTGATGAGGAGATATTGCAGAGAGGTAATATTTCTACAGGAGTATAATTTTAAGTGTGGAAGGAGATTTGTTGGTGGATGGGTATCATGTATATGTAGGGCATAAGGGGAAAATAAAGGGAGGTGCAGCTGTATTAATTGCGGAGGTCAGTCATTTTCGAATGTTACATTGGGAGGAAGGGAAGAAGGGAGAGTAGTGAGGGTACATACATACCAGATACATACCTCCTCTATATTCTGTGCGAATATAGAGGAGGTATGTATCTGGTTTTGCAGAGTCTTGGGTATGGTTGGTGGGAGTAGGCTAGTGGTGATAAGGGCATTGAGTATAGATATAGAGGGAGTGGAGGATGGCGTGAGGAGGGCTGTTTTGTATTTAGTGGTGGATTATGTTTATGAATCATAGGGGGTGAGAGAGTGGGGGGGGGGGGGGGGGCGGAAAAAATACGGGCGTTAGCGGGACGCTTCTATAGAACGAGGTGTAGTAATGAGGTAGTGTATGTGAATAGGTGGGCATTAGATTTTCCTGTAACGTATAGGGGAATGACTGAGAGAGGGCTACGAGATTTAGTGCAGTAAGGGTTGGGTGGACTGGTCTCTTGTGGGGGGGGGGAGAGTGCTCGCAAGAAATAGTAATGTGGAATGCTGGAATCTCATGTTAATTGAAAATTGGCCCTAATGTATAATGCTGATTAGTGTGCACGCCAGCCCGCGTGCACATTAGTTGCGTGCCTCGTTGTGCTCCGGGTTTTTCGTGTTTTCA